ATTAAAATTTCAGTGGTCTTAATGTTAATGGTTGACAAGTATATATATATCAGTTCCCGAAGAAATGTAATATTACCTAACGCCTTCTTTGCATAATGTCCAGCTATCCCAAAATGATTTGACCCTCTTAACAAAAAAATCATTATATTTATATATTTTTGCTTTCAATTTAAAAATCAAAAGTTTTTGGAATTATTTCTGTTATTTTTCAATAGAAATATATGACTTTAATAATTAATAATAAATTTACAGTGATTGTGGAAACAGACTTTTTGTCCTTTGAAAACTGTGAATTAACATAATTTTAACTTTTTGGATCGAATGCTTACTGTCAACATCTATCTCTTTCACTTAAAATGAAGAATTAAAAAAGAATTGTTTTCAAAAATGTATTTACCTGACGGTGACCCATCCAACTCCTGTCTCCTTTGCTTTAGATATTGCTAGATCCATGGCAAAGTGACCAACTACCGCACCTAGAATAATAAGGATGTCAACAAAATGTATGTTGTCTTACGTAGTCGTCTCGTTCTAAACTCCCCGCTCTGAGCTCTCCTCTTAGAAGATGTGAAACCCCTGAGAGAGGGACCGTGTCGGTGGTAACAAGTCGGCACCAATTTTGTATCATAAACTTTACCTATCTGTACTGTGTCCGCCATTTTCACGTCAGTTATATTTGATGATACAGAAGTATTTGTCGTTTTGATCTGTATGTATATGGCTCATTAAGGTACTAATAAGACATTACTATAAACGTTATTTTATATATGAACTGGATTTCGTTCCTTGTTTTCTTTATTTGATTTAAAAGTCGAATGTATCCATGTTAGAATTTATCACATATTTTCGAGTTTTTGTATATTATAGCTTTCTTCTCTGCATATTGTATTTTATAACTATAAATAAATTAATCAGGCAATCTTAATTACAGATTGAACCCGTAGCTGGAACAATTCAGAGCACAGTTATCTCGAGGGTGTTATCCTAAAAGAAATAGTGTTTATTCCTGTGTAGAGATCTGAGACATTCTCTTGGTTCCAATCGGAACCCTATAGCTATAAATACTTCAGGATATTTTTAAGCGGCCAGACTTGGTCGCAAAATACTTACATAAAACCTACGGTGGAAGGCGATTATACCAAAACAATGAAGACGACTTTCGGTTTTAATTTTAATTTATATCATGCTTTTAATATAGCATGGCTTAACAAATAAATGGAAACAAAGAGAAGCTGTTAATTAAAACGGCTTCTCTTTAATTACTTGTAAACTTGTGAATCGAAGAAAAGCTTGTTAACAATTAAAACTTTAATAAAAGTCGTCTTTATTATACTGATATTATCACCTACCACCGTATTTTCTTTTTTTAACATTAAAACTAAATCGATATTTTTATTTCCAAGCTCTTCGTTCATATGAAATGCAATGTAAACAATAAATATGTAACTTACTTTTCCTTTACTTTCTTTTTCCTTTTTTTAGAATTGGGGGAAAATCTTCCCACAACTTCAATTCATCAATCAAATTTGAGGTTTTTAAATATGTTCTCCTGAATCACTTAATTTTGTGTGTCTTTCTTATATCTTATAAATGAATAATTACTGACTTACTTACTTAGTTAATTCTCTAGGAACATTGGATTAAATGTCGTCTTCGTTTTCATTTTTGGTTACCCAATTTTACATTTAATTTTTTTAATTGTGTTTATAATATTCTTTACAAAATGCAGACCAAACATTTTTTCAGATATACATAAATCAGTAATCAATAACAAAAAAACAAAATTTGTTGACATTTCAGGATTAAAAGAAAGATGAGGACGACCTTTATGAAACTTAAGTTTTCTTTTTTTAAAAATTGAAAAATAGCTATATTAAAAAACCGGAATTGATCATTGAGGAGAAATAAAATAGATGTCGCTTTTAAGAAGTTACCCTTTTAACATTTTTGAGGTGTTTCATTTAGATGTGAGCCATACAAATCATCTTTATACACTTTATATTTTCATCTCATTTTTTATTTGCAAATATTTTTGATCTTAGCTCACCTAATGAGTTGTTTCCATTAACAACTGCTGTCGAGACAGTTTCCTTCTCAATACTAGGAATACTATTCGGGGAACAGATCTTAATAAAATAAGTTTAAAGGGACAGTTTTCTTCTCAATACTAGGAATACTATTCGGGGAACAGATCTTAATAAAATAAGTTTAAAGGGACAGTTTCCTTCTCAATATTATGAATACTATTCGGGGAACAGATCTTAATAAAATAAGTTTAAAGGGACAGTTTCCTTTTTAATATTATGAATACTATTCGGGGAACAGATCTTAACAAAATAAGTATAAAGAGACTGTAAACGTAATTTTTAGTGGTTCATACAAAAATGCTCGATTAAAAACGTGGCTACTGTTTTTAAATATTATCTAATTATGGTTAAAATTTGCAGCAAATGTGCATACAACTATACCTTTGATCTTATATCTGCAACATAATGTCCTCTAAGCCTATTGAATCCATGACTGTAATGCCCCCTGCGGTCTGCTTCAATTAATACTGCTATGTGCTTCGAGGCATGTTCCTCGCTAAAATACACGGGACCCAGAAAAACTGCGGAATAGGAAGACGACATTTCATAGGTTTTATGTCTACGCTGTGTTTTTGTTGACAACAAAAGTCTTTATGTTCATAGAGACTAATTAAAATTATAACTCGGGCCTAAAAATCGAATTCCTATTCCGCAATACTATCGGACCCATGGGAATTGATTAAAATGTGTATAACTTAACTAACTGGTTTATTCATAAAAAACAATAGAAATGTATAACTCTATTTTAGTTATTGATGAACCCGCATTCATACTTAAAGAGAAACCATATTTAATAATTATCACTTTTAGAAGAAAAAAAGTTATCTCATTTATTTGTTTTGGTTTCTTCTAAAGATTTATAGAGGTGAATCAGACAGCAAATAATAAAAAATATTGTCACTTGAAATACATTCAACAGTTTCTTGAGAGAGTTAAATCAAATATATGAAAATTAATCTAAATGTACTGTAAGTGTAATTTCAATTGGCAAAGATGTTCGATTCACAACGGTACCATTGCAAAACCCTTATCTGAGTCATACTGAGAAATATTTTGCTAGGTTTAATTCTGATAATTCTTAAATGTTTTCCTGCAATAGAAATGCACAAGTTACTTTTGTAGAGAAACCAAAATTGAAAATAATCAGTTTTCAAAATTCTTAACATTGATATCTAATTCACGATCAGATAAAGCTTTTAAAGGTACCATTGCAAATCGGACATTCCCATATTTGCATGGATGGTCACTTAAAATATTTACCAATATCAATTGTTTGGTCTCTTCTGATACAGGGTGTCCCAGTAAACATCAAAGTTGGTGAATAGTTTTAAATGTCTTCTTCAATAATTTAATACCGAAGAGAATAATAGAAACATCGCTTGCTAGTTATTTTAATAAAATTGATTTCAAAGCAAAATATAATTAAGTAAAAGACTTTTTAGCCGAATAAATGGCAAAAAGTCTTACATATATAATACTTGATATGGAAGAAGACATTCAAAACTATTCACCAACTGGCATGTTTCGTGGGAGTGGGACACCCTGTAGTTTAAAAAGACAGGTACAGTTGTGAATCAGGTACACTGTAAATCATGAAACATAGAATCACTCGAAATATCTTCGACAACCCCTTAAGGGAGTTAAACAAAATATAAATGAAAAAGCATTTAAAGGGACTGTAAGAATAATTTTAAGTGACTCTGATTTTAAAGATTGCAATACCCGATTCATAACCGTACTTTTGAAAGATTTGATCAGCTATAAATAAAAAGCAATGTGAATTACCATCTTTGCATTGATGGTCACTTGAAATATCGCGTACAGTTCCTTTAATGTGTACATTTTATATATTTACCATGAACCTGCAGACATCAAACATTGTGTTCCAAACCTCATGAGTTCCTGCTCGTTTACTTTAATAAAAAATTATTAATATTGATGATCTTGAAAATTAAATACACTTACAGTGAAAACTCTGAAACTCTGAAATAGGAAGACGACTTATAAACTCAAGTTATGACAATCAATAGTGCGTGCCATAAACAATGGACACAGCAACTGTGCAGTGTAAACAGGCCCATTTCAATTAATAAGTGATTTAATAAGTATCTAGTAAAACTATTAGCTTTGTAACAACATCAAATACACTTAGATATTTCTAGAAAGTCGTCTTCCTAGTTTCAGAGTTTTTTGGTCATCACTGTACCTATCACATCTGCCATTTTTTTCTCTCTAAAAAATTATGAAACATGTTAAAAAATAATTAATGAATGAAACAACGTTTAATAATTTGAAATTTTTAAAGAAGGAAATAAGAAGGAAAATAACAAACATTAAAATTGTAACCCTATCACGATGGGGNTACCCCCGGAGGTTTCTTCTTAATAACTTAAAAATGATTTACATTAGAACGCTAAAACTTCTTCACTTTTTCAAAATAATAGTTGTAAATAAATTTTGCTCAACATTTTTTTTGGTGCATAGAGTAGGGCGGAGGACGCTGAAATGTGTGTTTCAAAAAAATCAGAAATGGTTAATAACTCTTTTATTAATTGACAGGGCTAATTTGCTAAATGACATATATATAGTTGAAAAGCCCTTGAAAAAATGGATTTAATAACATGTGTAAACCCCATTCCTGCTGTTTTGAAAGATTGTCAGTTGTCAGATTTTCATAATTTTTAGCTTTTTGGAAAGCACAAGTTTTGCAAAGAAACTTTTGGACATTTTTTGCATACCATCTGTTAAAAGAAATTTGCACATTTTTAGTTATTTATAATTACACATCAGGTTATTTAAAATTTTGCCATTTTTTGCAAATTTGAAAAGGCATTGTCAAGGGCTTTTCAAAACTGTTTATTTTAAATTTTTTTAGACATTTTTTTACAAACATTTTGAATATATAACTGGATTTTGCAAAAATATTTTAATTTTTGCAAATTTGAAACATTTTAGCATATTCTAAAAGTAGAGTACAATAGCTTTCCAATGATGTATCATTAGTCATATTTGGGCATCAAACATGGGATTTAGAGGGCGTGGGGGTCAAATTGACCCCCCACCAGCGTATCCTGGTTTTCAAGTACCCAAGCAGGACTAGCGTTTGTATTTGTTAAAAGTAAAAATAACTACTTTTGAAAAAAATACATACTTATTGAACTTTTTAAAAATCCTCCCTTGCACCTTAACCATTCAAGTTATGAGGTACAATTTTTTTTTCTTTATTGAGAAGGCCTTGAGAAGTTGGATTGAGGACATGTACCCTACTCCCCTACCTCAACTCTAAGGGTCAAAATATAAGGGGGGGGGGTGAAAAACACCCCCCTAAGCGATATTTATGAAACATTAATCTTATCAAAACTGAATTAAATGAAAAACTAAACACTAACTGTATATACACTAACACACAAGACTAAAGTTTACATATTGGAATTTTTTAAAACATGTGTTTAAAATGTTTTCTGACTTGCGTAATTCTATTCAGTTATAAGGGGACTGTGGACGTAATTTCAATTGAACCTTCATTAGAAGATGATTTGCATTCTTGATTTATTACGGTACCAGAGTTCTTTCAGATCAAGTGTGACAAGAATATCATTTCCCCTTTTTTCCTGTTTTTTTAACGCAACTCAGAATGCGTAAAAATAAAAAAAATATGACTGATTTATTTCTCTGTCTTTTCCTAAAAATCAAGTCATACTTAAGACCTTCAACTATAAGTGTTCAAAAACTGCCTTATGTTTCTGAGGCCAGATGTATCTTTATTTAGACATGTTTCCCTTTTCTTTGAGATGAAACACCTTTAAGGAACTTTTTTTGCATTTTACATAACCAAAAATTATTAAAATTTCAATGTTTAGGTTCGTTTATATTCACTAAACTTCGATATTTAGGTTTGTTTATATTCACTAAATCTCGATATTTAGGTTCGTTTATATTCACTAAACCTCGATATTTAGGTTCGTTTATATTCACTAAACCTCGATATTTAGGTTGTTTATATTCACTAAACCTCGATATTTAGGTTTGTTTATATTCACTAAACCTCGATATTTAGGTTCGTTTATATTCACTAAACCTCGATATTTAGGTTCGTTTATATTCACTAAACCTCGATATTTAGGTTTGTTTATATTCACTAAACCTCGATATTTAGGTTTGTTTATATTCACTAAACCTCGATATTTAGGTTTATTTATATTCACTAAAACTCGATATTTAGGTTTGTTTATATTCACTAAACCTTGATATTTAGGTTTGTTTATATTCACTAAACCTCGATATTTAGGTTTGTTTATATTCACTAAACCTCGATATTTAGGTTCGTTTATATTCACCAAACCTCGATATTTAGGTTTGTTTATATTCACTAAACCTCGATATTTATGTTCGTTTATATTCATTAAACCTCGATATTTAGATTTGTTTATATTTACTACACCTCGATATTTAGGTTTGTCTATATTCACCAAACCTCGATATTTAGGTTTGTTTATATTCACCGAACCTCGATATTTAGGTTTGTCTATATTCACTAAACCTCAATATTTAGGTTTGTTTATGTTCACTAAACCTTGATATTTATGGCTTGTTTATATTTACCAAAACATATATTTAGGTTTGTTTATATTTACCAGACCTTGATATTTAGGTTTGTTTATATTCACTAAACCTTGATATTTAGGTTTGTTTATATTCATTAAACTACGATATTTAGGTTTGTTTATGTTCACTAAACCTTGATATTTAGGTTTGTTTATATTTACCAGACCTTGATAGTTAGGTTTGTTTATATTCATTAAACCTCGATATTTAGGTTCGTTTATATTCATTAAACCTCGATATTTTGGTTTGTTTATAGTCACCAAACCTCGATATTTTGGTTTGTTTATATTTATCAAACCTCGATATTTCGGTTTGTTTATATTCATTAAACCTCGATATTTAGGTTCGTTTATATTCATTAAACCTCGATATTTCGGTTTGTTTATATTTACCAAACCTCGATATTTCGGTTTGTTTATATTCATTAAACCTCAATATTTAGGTTTGTTTATATTCATCAAACCCCGATATTTAGGTTTTTTTATATTCATTAAACCTTGTTATTTAAGTTTGTTTTTTTATTACTCAAATATATATAAATATAGGTCTGAAAAAAATTTAAAATAGTTCACTACGCTTCTGCAGAAAGGATTGCAGGAATTATTTTCGTAAAACTTGTGCAATTTGATTTCTTACATCATCGATTTTAAAAAGAGCAATCAAATCATTAAAATCAAAAACCAGTTGGAGTAAAATCATAAAGAAAATGTTATTCAAAAAATTTTGAAAAAAGTAAAAAATTCCGTTTTACCAGGGTTTGGACAAAACGGCTACCTGAAGAGAGTCATAGTTACTCCCACTGTTTACACAATTTTGGATATAATAAACAAATCGTCAGATCAATCTGAGCAAATTTTATGTTTTATTATCAATTGATTGGTTACTCCCCCCCCCNCCCCCGGTGCTATTCTATATCTGTGAAACTCTCAATATGTTCTCTATGCTGTAAACTTTGTATTATCCTAGCAAAGTTTGGGCAAAGTTATATAGCGTGAAGATTACATTGTATTCTATACAGATTATATACAGTGTCTAGTCTCATAGATTATTATTAGCAGAGAATTAAACGATCGGAATCAAACATGTCATTTCTCAAACACATTATCCAGTTTGGGCTATTTGGTTTGAATTGCTATTATGCCCTTACATATGATCCAGGAGACATGTGAATGTCAATATATTCCCTTTTCTAGACCAATTTTAGCCAATCAGAGTGTCGCTTTCTATAAACCAAACAGCTCATCAGAGGCCGGGAAATTTTCTGCACAGTAAAAATGTAGATTAAACTATTCTGAATTAAAGTATGCAAGTGGTTTTTTACTTTTTAGATTTTAATTGACTAATATAAACAATTAAGAAAGATACATTTGCACATTTAGCCCAAACCTGACACTCTGAGTCAAGTCTGGGCCAAATCAAGGTTTGGAACTTTCATCCCTTCAATTAACTGATAGTAAAAATTCATTTGCCCTGCAAGCTTTTCCATACAATATTTTGTCTGCTACATAAAATTTCTAAAATTCAGGTCATTCGATCTTCTAATTTTTATAATTTGAACTACTTTCTTGGATATAGTATGCGTTTTAAACAAAGATAATATATATGATCCATGGTTTTTGATCTTAAAATAATTTTGGGTTTAGTAAAACCATAAGTTTAAGAATTAATCTTGATATCCACAATTCTAAAGTTTTCAGCTCAGTACATTTTAACTGTTCAAAAGCATAACTTGATTTTAATATTCTTATTCCACAACTTTTCAGATCCCATATTTGTTTACGGAGAAAGCTTAAAATATAATTCTTGCAAGTTGCAATGCCTTCTATCAAATATCCTACATGTTGTTTGTCCAGAGCTGAAAACTTTAGAATGGTGGATATCAGGATTAAAGCTTAAACCACTCCTTTTCTTAATATCCAGTTTAAATATTGCTTGTTCTCCACATGAATTTAAACTCCAGAGAAGCTGATCCATCGGATATCTGGATATTTCATTCTAAAGTTTTCAGCTCAGAGCCCATGATTTAAAAAAATCGGGAAAACAAGACTCAGCTTTCAGTTTTTAAGCTGCCATTGAGATTAATTTAAGACTCAAGCATTTGGATTTGAGTTGCAACCATTTTTCCACAGAGTTGGTTCATTAAACGGAGCTGAAAACTTTAGAATGGTGGATATCGGGATTAATGCTTGATCCTCCCTTTTTGATAATCTCAAGATTAACATAATCTTGCAAGATTATCTTAAAAGTGTATGAAAAACTATAATCATCTGAGAAACTGTAGCAGCCGATCAGAGAAAAGCGGGCAACCAATGAGAGAACAGAAATATTCTTATTGGAGAAAACAATTTACTGATATCCAAAGAGAGAGAAAAGAGTGGATTAGGACTAAAATTAAAAGTTTCCACAGTGGATATTCGGATCAAGAAGTCAGGATTAAAGTTTATCCATTCTAAAGTTCCCAGCTCCGGTTTAATATTGTATTTGGAGGATTTTCATAGTTGGAATTGGCGGATTTAGGGTGTTCGATAAGAACTAGACTCTAAATTGAGACAAATTCTCCACTAAAACCAACTAAAGTCGTTTTTATTTTCATTGGGTTTCACTTCTCCCAAGAGCTGACAGC